GGCGTAATTATTACCACCACTCTTGTTTCAGATATATTTTTTAAATTACTACATAGCTGCACAAAATAAACTTTTTTTATTTTGTAAAAGCTGCCAGCATTCGATAAATATATTTATTACGTATCTGTTTAAAGAATGTATAACTATATTATGTCTAGAAGAAGAAAATTATACTACAGTCAGTTACTTTCTATTGGAAAAGCCGCTTGAGGGCGCAAGAACAGCGTTTCTCACGCGACAATGGATCGAAAACGGCAGTCGCCGCGTGCTTTACCGTACTATTGTTTTGAAACTAATCGAACCTGACGTCACTTTAACGTTAATTTCCTCGAAACTAACACTGTTATACGTTACCTTTACTGTAACAGCCGATTCCATATTTATAGGCATATATTAGTTATACCCAGGCAACTATAGAATTATATTTTCATAGATTTAGCCATAGATTGCTTTTCTCGTTAATATATTATAAAGATAATGAATGCTACTATTTTTAATTATAGTTTTAATAGTCGTTTTCATTACGGCATTGGTTGCGCCAAGGATGCACAACTTTCATACCGAATATGTAGCTATATTTGGACCGTGAAGCACTGACGAAACATGCAAAACAACAAACAATCTCTAGAATTAGTTACGCCGTTGCTTAGTCTACTTATGAAGAGGCGCGTTTCTTTGCTGTAACCGTAAGATATACTTAGTACATAATATATACTTCACAACATCGTTGTATGTAAATTTCGTCACTGAATAATTTAATTTAGATTGTAAATTTTCGTTGCACACATTATAGTTAAGAATCAAAGATAGTTCTTCTCGGAAGCAACAGATAAACTTTATTAAGTATGTATAGTGTATAGATAAAAAGCGATAAAATAATTAAAATACATGTAGTATCTATGTTAAAGTTACAGCCTATATAAGTCCACAGGCAGACACAGGCCTCAGGATCAGAAAATGAGAGGAGGCCTGTGCGCGTTGACGAATTTCACGTGTCATCGAAATATTTTTTTCTTATTTATCAGACATGCAGGTTTCCTCACGATGTTTTCCTTCACCGCTGGGCACCGTGGTAAATCAGCTGTTAAAATTGTAATTAACAATTTCATAGGTGCCGGCGGGGATCGAACCCGGGTTGCTCTTGTACTGTGAAATATATGTATGTATGACAACCTATAAGTATAATATAAAAAAATTCAATTTTTTGTTTGTAAAGTGAACAAGTTGACCCATAACGACTGATCTTTCGATATAGGTAATTAACCTTAATTAAGTTCAAGCACGCTTGTTAGCGTCTCATGCTAAAAAGATAGAAAGATAAATGTTACCATTTTGATATTAATTCTTTCAGGAGTGTTGTCGACTTGCAAAAAACCTTATTGACAGCGAACATAACATTACGTGGAAATTCAAATAGCAACGTCCTGAAAGTCGATGCTAATTTATACTTCTACGACCTGTTTGACTTTATCGAGCGAATAAAAACGCATCGTTTTGTATTAATTTGTAGTTTTTGTAGTTGAAGAGTTAGAAGTAAATTATGTCTTTATACATCTAGGGTAATACTTTGTATGTTCAAATACATATATACAGAAGTATAATAATAAAAACTGGTCGGATAAATGTATAAAACAATTATTAAATGAAATTTTCGAAAAATATAATAAATTGCCCGTTTGCAATGTCTCGACAACCGATTAAATAGAAAATTACAGTAATTGATTTTGGTTTTTTTTTTTAATCTTTTGTATGGTCGGTGCATCAACAAGCGTTGCTAAAGTATCGTAGGAAAGTGACTTACCAAAAGACGTAATGTTCCAAGAAATAATCATGATAATATAATATCATAATTTTAGGTTACTGTAATGAATTGGAGGTAGCTTTTAGTGTTTGTTTATACAGTATGATGCTTTTAGCGCAGGTACTTGTATGAAAATATGAATCATAGTCGTGGTAGTACGTAAGGTGCTTTATAATGTCGAGATTTCATATTATACAATTTAGTTGTTTATAAGTAAAAGGTTACGATATAAACAATCTATTTTCGTAACACTATTGTCGAGGAGCTACGTTCTATGTTTCACGTAAATGTTTAGCCTATAAAAATATTGTACTACAGAGCTGGAATGTGAGTCGCCTGGTATAGTATAGGGCATGCGCGGATATATACTTTGACATTTTCGTTCCGTCCTTTTCCCGCTTAGGTGTATACAAGGCAGGTGTTTCCAACTTTTATAATGTTCAATTATGCGCGGTCACAATTTTTTCGCATTAAAACAACGTAACGGTTAACACTGAGGAATTCTGAATGAGTCCGTTTATGTCAGTAGGGTAACTTCCCTCTTTGTCAGGAATACAACCTTAACTTTGCGAGCAAGCGGACGCACAAATTTGAACCTTGTTTCACAGCGACGTGTGAAGAGCCGCTCGTAATCCGGTCTTCACCTCTTGTGACATCCGAACGGCCTAACGGCTATCAAACATGCTTAACCCATTACAATATAAACTCGTGATTTACAAACACAAATTGTTTAAAAGTAAAATAAATGAATACTCGCCGACGACCCGAACGCGTGAATACAAATGAGATTTCTTTTTGGAGTGAGCCATCTCTTGCTTTAAAGACTGTATGATAAATCGTTTCTATGCGTCGTTAGCCCCGCGCCGGTTTACTTGTAATTTCACTGTTCGTTGTTGTCAGTAATATTAATATTCGTATGACCCTATTATCGATCGAATCCATCTCGATTTACGATTCGATTAATTTCATAGGTGGATGATACAAGAAACCTAGAAGAATTTTAATAGGTTTGTAATTCAATTTGGGTAGTTTGAACACGTAATCGTATTACAAAATATGTTAAAAGATACTGGCCGTAAAGTATGTGGGTTATATATAAACAAAAATAGTTAACACTTATTCGACTTTCAATTTGCATGTTTTAAATTTCGAAAATGGAATGCGCGTCTTTTAAGCAAATCTCCGTTCACCTGCCGGCCGAGTCACGAAGGCAACGATCGGGACGTAGGTATTCTCTTAATATCGATACATTACGCGGCACTTATTTGTCTAAACGATATGCTTCGTGAAACACGCTAGCGATGACCTCATTACGAAAAAAATATCGTTAGGACAGACTAAATACTGGCGTACCCGACTAAAATAAAGGTCGGCACGTATGTTGCGTATCTACGGAAGTTGAACTGCCAAAGAGTATTAGCACATTGAAGTATTTCGTATCGAGTGAGATAAAGCGCATATGGCGTAAATTCGACATCCGACGTGAGGAGCTTAACCTGTCACATCTGAAATTCGATAGATCGTATTATTTCGCGTCGCTTTCGCTCAACTGATCGCATGTCGCCCCGACAATAGACAACTGTATATGAATTTAAACAGGAAGTTTCAATTTAGCGTCAATTCATCTGTAATGATACTGTGGAAGCCGGACGGGTATCCATATTTGTTAAAAAAAAAGTTTTATATTTCGGTCTGTTTCTACCTGGTGAGTTACCAAATGTCACGCTTCTCCAGATGGCCGGTTGTGCAAGCCCGAGCTTAGTTGTTTGCTCAAATATTACAAGACGGTACATTTGAAGTGAGCCGCTAAATAAAATACAAACATTTCTAGAAACGAAGCGTCCACACAGTGTTTGTAAGGCAGAATTTACCGAGATCCATTTAAGATGTCCGCTATCCTTGGAACCGAGATAGGTAAATAAATAACATGTAATTACAATATCGAATCACGATCAAGCGTGACCTCGGCGTAATTGTCGGGGAAGATGAGATTGCCTATGCAATGAAGGTTAAACATATTTTTAATAACACCATGTTTTACTTTGAAATAAGTATTATTTAATTCTTTAAAGGTAATTGAGAAAAAAAAAATAATTCTTTCCAACATACGTGCCTATTTATCTACATGGGAATTTATTATGAAAGGAAATCTTCTAAAGAGGATTATACTAATCTAAAATCTATAAATTACTGAGTGATAATATTAGTTAGAGTTCCTGGTTAGAACAAAAAAGCGGAAACTTTTTTATTGCGCACTATCATCCGGGATAAAAACAAAAAAGTCACCGAACAAACATTGACGTACGTCCTTTTTGTCAGGAAATACATACTGAAGTATAGAAAGTATATAATCATCGAATATATTACAAAATATTATCGATACATCAGAAATTCAAAATTGTTTTGTCATAATTTATTACAGCGAGCGAGATGTCTCTAGTGTTCGTAGACTATCGGAATTTGAATGTCGGTAACATCACATGGCGTTGATTTATGGATGTAGGGTAACCATTTAATGCTTCTTTTACGATGTATTGACCTAAGACGCTAAATTGGTTAATGATTTGGCGGTTTTTATTTACCGAACAGTTACTTTTAATTTATAAAATAATGATAGAGCGGTAGTAGCAGCAGTAGTGAGGGTCTTAAGAGGCAACAGAGGGAAATAAAAGAAGGGATGGGTAGCAAAATCTTCGTGATATCAAGTCAAAATAATAATTAAAAATAATTGCCGACCCGCCTGCCAAGCGTAGAGACTATGGCAAATATCCCCCTATAAGGTAATCTATTGGGGAGGCCTTTGTTCAGCTACGTGGTAGAGCCACACTGCACTGCAGCCATATTAGTAGTATAGCTTGTAGCACGAATGGGTCGGCAAGACCGGGGTAGTACCACGGTCTCACAGAATATCAGCGTAAAATAGTAGTTTGACGCTGCTGTGCTTCGTACGGTGAGTGTAGAGAACCGGAGATCCTTTTTACTGGAAACGAGGCATTTGATCTTAGACCTCACGGGTGACAACGTATCTGCATTTTAATTCGCAAACAAGGATAGATGTAGATGTCTATTGGCCACAGCAACCACTTACCATCAGGTGGACTATGTGCTCGTTTGTCACCCTTATACTATAAAAAAAACAGTCTATGTCAATGAATGATAAAGTAGGTTAATTACAAAACGATTAGTTAGCAACACTTACCGGCCACGTGAAATCGAAGGGAAACACGATGGGATTGCTGAATCCTTCCACATTGAGATTGGGAACATCCAAGGAGTTGCCTCCCAACACAGGCGTAGTGATGTCACCGAAGGTACACGGTGACGTTGTATCGATATTAGCTTGATATATCTTGAGGCACACGCGGAATTTAGTCCTGCACGGCGCCAAACACGGCGCGTCACTATTTGAGGAACCATCACAGCACTGCCCACTACTTAACCTACCCAATGAGTTCGTAAAACTTTTTATCCTAAGTTCAAATGAACCAGACGACAGCACCTGAAAAAGAAAAATATAACTGTAGATATTTTGTTTTTATTATTTACTTATTTTCAGACAAAATAGTAGATATACAAATAAAAGCAGTGACAACACAAACCTAGTTTATTAAAGTTTTTGAACTTTGAGCAGGTTTTGTATATTTTCTGGGATTTTGTTGTGTATATTATGTGTAAGTGTGTGAGTGTGATATATTAAGTTAATGCTCTCATTGAATAATATTAACAATATTGTGAATACAATAAAATATGTTCCCAATTAGCGAGTAACTTTTTATGGGTGTAAGTGTTGATTTTTTTTACAAAATTGACTTAAAAATTTATAATTTCTTAACATTAAATTGTTGATTTATACTTTAAAATAAATAAATATATTGCTACATGACTATTACAATGACTGTTTTTATCAACATGCATTACCTCACTGTATATGCATAAAAATATACCAAATTTCAGTATACAACAAAAAAAATTAACATGTCTAAATAAGTTTCGGTTTCGGTTGAAAATCCTGTTTCGGTCGGGTACTACATAAAAGTTAAAAAATACGGAGGTGAGGTAAATACAATGGAATAAATCTGTGTTAAATCATTTAGTCTTCTTAACAACGACTAAACATAAAATTGCGGTCACCAACCTGTTTGCCAAGCGTGGTAACTATGGCAAATAACCAATGAAGCAATCTATGGAGGATGCCTATGTTCAGGAGTGGACTTTAATAGACTGTAATGGTAACGGTAAATCTGTTTAAGCCTATTAATCAAAATGACAGAAACAGCAAACGCAATGCAGCTTTCAGCGTTCTTGAGATTATTAAATCAACAAATATAACTATTTGCACAAACTGTTGATGTGATCGATCATAAAAACACGTTAACGGTTATACTCGGCCCATAAATATATGGTGCTTGAAAGTGGGGTAGTAGTTCACGTGGGGTTATTTTACGCGACACCCGTAGAGTTAAGTTTCAAACGCACCAATGTTTGTAACGTATTAGGGTGATATATTGCATTAGCGGTAAAAAACGAAAGTATTCTTAAGGTATGAAAGTTATAGTTTCTGAAAATTAGCAAATATGAACATATTTTATTCTATATCGTATAACCACTGGTCTTAAGCATGGAATAACTGTAAAAATTGTCTATGATTATTTTTTTTATTTTAAAAGAGCTGTTGGCATACGCCCCCAGCGTTGTTTTAAACGATTTTTACGTTTACGTTGCGGGTACAGATAAAAAACCAATAGTGATGACAGATAAGTAGATGACAGCACAGTAGCTTGATGCCGTTGGTTTTTGTATGTTATGAATAATAATAGCCAACTGTCGCCCTATAGGGTAGTACAACCCCTTTATTAATATGGAATGCGCAGTTGGTCGCGTTGCATGTGGGATCAAATACTAATTTAAACTTATATGCATTTGAAAGTACACTGTTTTAGTTATTTATACTTAAAAACAAAGACGCGCTTCTACAAAGGTCTCTGTCGACAGGTATTATAAGGCATCGGAAGGAAGTGGTAGGTATTAAGTTTGTCGTTCGAGTCTTAGCGAATTATTACCGGTTGCTTTGGTTGCGTGTGTTGGTAAATAATGGAGTAAAAAATATATCGTTTCCTGTGTACTTTCTATCCGAATGATTGTTTATGTACCGGTTATGTGCTTGTAATGTGCATTTGCATTCATTAATGATTGCTATATGATCGTAAAGTATGTCGTGGATTGAATTTTCAATTTGTCACTAAGCTGGCCGTCGTTAAAATAATCTAAGCACTTTCTTTTTGTTTTTATATCATTAGCTATAAATAACAGCAACTGTAAATATTGCAATAGGCAAAAGAAAGTCAGAATTTCTCACGCACGACACTAATAAAACTAAGGTTTCCCAAACGTGTACAAACAAAAGAAATATAATGGACAATGATCCATTCAAAATGTCTTATCTAGTAAAACAGACGGTAAGTCTGTGGATGCCGATATGAAACCACCGTTTAAACTTTAAACAAAGACCGGTCTGAGAAAGACACCAGATTTTGGCTGACTTCCTGCCGCGGGTGACAGGGGTTCGAATCCGTGGATTTTACATCTGAAAACGCAAAACACTCGCCCTCCCATTCTAATGACGAAGCACAGAACAGGACGCCGAGCTGTTTTCACACATCCACGTGGTTCGACGTCAGGTAGGAGCGGAACGAAAAAAAAACCTCCAAAAAACATACGGACGCTCTAAACATCCCCTTTTTTCTGGAACAAGTTGATGGATTGTTTACAACAGCAGTAGTAGAGACTGAGTTTGATGAATTGAAGCTAATCATATTACAATAAAAATGTAAACATGTGAACGTAACTATGTTACTTTTTATTTCTTTAACATTTTGTCAACGCCACATAGCAATTTATCAAAAATTGTTTGGAAATATAAAAATAAAAAAAATACAATCCATATGCCATATACTTCGTAGAACACCTCGCCCCAGGCCGGCCACAAATTAACAATTAAATATTACTTACGGACTTACAGACTACCGAATAAGATATATTATTATAGTGTCTTCAGGCGATTTAACGCGATGACTGACTGATTGACGTTTAAGTATATTATCTTTTTAAAAGGTGCTGAACTTTGTTTATGGTCATTTGTTTTTTTGTCTATAATATCGATACAAACTAAAATTAGTCACATGATTTTTGTTTAGTGTACAATGTTACAGCAGTCCTTGTTAATTAAAACATGTAGTGTTAATAGAACCCCGAACAATTGAGCTTTAGTCGCTTTTTTTAATTAAAATTCAATTGTCGAATTTCTAAAAACAGGTTTTTTATATTGATTATTCTGTCAATGCTTACCGCAGTGTTGCAGTCATTGAGTAACGAATTAAAGTGAATGCTTGTACCTAATTTATTTTATATACGGTCCAAGCATTTAATGCATTCGGCGCTGAGTCGTGAACATCTTTTTTTTTGTTCAGAATGGAAAGTAACATGTAACACGAATATGTGCCTCCGTTAGTGTTGTCTACTTTCATCATTATTCAAGCTATTCAAAATATAAAAATTGTTTCAGATCAAAAATATATAAAAAGTGAGCGAATTTTTTACGAACGTTTCCTTGGCATACGAACTTATTAATGATGGTTATGTGTATAATTATTTCAGAGAAGACGTATTATGCATTATTACATAGAATACATAAAGTTAGGCAGCTTTACCAGCGCAATCTCCAGCAGAACGGTCTTAATTAATTTCGAGTACCTTAATCGATTGTCTCGTAAATCGCCTCTCCTAACGTATAGTTTTACATCAATTTCTATCATTATAATTGCAGCGCAATATGCCCACAATATTGCATACAACATTTTAAACAAAATTACCATGTCAAAATGATTTATCTTGAACACAGACTATGTTGCCCTTACTAAAATGATCATTATAATTGAGTATAGTTCACACTTTTTTGTGAACCTAGGCAAAGGTCAAGGAACAAACCATTTAATGTTATAGTACATTATCAAAGTCATTACGGATGTTATGACGTATTTAGGTATTTTATAGTGTCCGTAGTACACAAGTAGTTGATAGCCAGTTATGGAGTATATGAAGATCATTGTATAAGTGAGGCAACACAGTAAGCACTCGTTCTAGTCAGGTTAGACCGAGTCTAAAAATAGCTAAAATAATGAAACACAGGGGAATGTTTTTCATCTCGGTTGTTATACACAAGCGAAATGTGTTAAAATAAACATTTAAACACAGTCTTTTAATAGCGCGACGTTGTGGCCACTGCACAAAATTCGCAATCGTGAATTTAATTTTGGAACTGTGGCTCGATATGGTCTTTTTTTATATATTCTTTTTTCCTCGCCATTCACACACATGTCTTAAAAACTCTGTTTAAAAATAGAATATAGTGTAAAGAGCGAAATAATTAGTTCAAAAATATTTTTTCTGTTGTTTAGCCCTTGATGAATATGCTATAATTATTGATTGCCATCGAGCTGACTTTTAAGAGAAAAGGGAAAGGAATATAACATATTGTAGGAGCATTCTCAACAATAGAATCCCGTTTCAAAGCACTTTACGGTGCTAAATAAAAGGACATTCGTCTTAAAGCGAACAAAACGTTTTGAAAATCGACGTTCTCGCGACTTTTGTCGCAATCTCTTTGTTCAGTGGTTAATTCTGTTGGCAGCTGCTATCGCATGAAAGCAACATACGATCTATCTCTGGAATTCGAAATTAACGGAGAAACGAGCGTCGTAATAGGCCACGTAGGCCAGGAACGTATATGGAAAGCGCATAATAAGGTATTTTGCGGTTATTTAAGCGTTGCACAAGCGCATTAGGATTTCGTGCGTTGGTGTTCGGTGCTTTACGATGGGATGGGAATCGTGTACCGTCTCTAGTTGCACCATAAACTAGAACCGTTGTACTACATCTAGATTTAACGTAAAGATGTCCTGTGGTTAACGATATACCTAGTTATTACTTTAACGGATTTTATCTCGTTTATTTTTTACTAATTTTGTTACTCAAATGGAGTATTGTGTACATTGAATTTGATGTAGTATCCGCGTAGATATAAGAACTCATTATACAAGAGCAACAGCTTCTGAAGTCGGGATTTTAAATCTTCTACACACACTACTGGGTTGACTGGTAGAGAATGCTTCAAGGCATTAAGTCCGTTTGTATTATTTTGTTTTAAGGAATGCAATAAAGAATAAATACTTAAATAAAATAAAAAATATATCGTAGCATAATATTTTTAAAGTTTAATTTTCAGACTTGAATTATTACTTATTTTTTTTACACTAAAACTAAATAGTTTAGTTATAATCATAAAGCGGTAACCATTTATTGCTAAAAATAACATAGAAGGCATTTTCGTAAAGTAAAAATAATATAGTATTAAATATTTTTGATTGCTCCGGCTTTTATTCGCAGTAATTTCTTTTAAAGCTACTAATGCTTGTAAAGCCAAATTGAATGAATGAATGAAAT